GCATCTGCAAACATTCCTCCACCCATCCATCCATCCATCCATCCATCATCCATCATCCACCCATCATCCATCCATCAGTCCTCTCATCTAGAAGATAAAGCCGGCTCACCCAGTTTTCCCAGCGATCACCGTCTGTTTTCCAGCCTGAAGCCACCACGCCATGTCGTCTTGTTTGCAGCCTCTCCTCTCTCCTCCACTGTGTGTGTGTGTGTGTGTGTGGGGGGGGGCTCATCGTCACGGCAACACCAGCAGCTTGCAGCAGCACCACTCTGGAGCAGAAGGTGGGGGTGGGTTAAGCGAGCATGGGCTGTCATATAATCTGTTCCTGCTGCACCCAATCAGGAGCAAGACGGAGCAAAAGGAGGACATCCATTGGTTCATAGATGGATGGATGTTGAGTCATAGTGTCAGCAGAAGACCCTGAATCAACAGGATCAGGAGGTCTCTGCAGCACCAGAATAAAGTTTTTACATTACAACCTTATTTCCTGTTTTATGAAATAGCAGGTTTAAAGAATAAAAAGCTGTAAGAGGAAAACAACGCAGCTTCTGTTTCAGTGCAATTGTTGCAAGATGTAAAATCTGTAATGTATTATTATTTATTTTTTTATTTAATTTTTTCATTTGCATAATTTTGCATTTTAAATTAATCATTACTGTTGAAGCCGCTGCAATGTCGAGTATGAAGAAAATAAACTGTAAAATGTATGAAATAACAAAAATACAAATTGGAATAAATTAATAAATTAAATATAGAACGCTGTGGGGAAAGAGTCTTATTCATCTTATTACTATAAGCAAATATTATTTTATTTTATTTAGCTCAATCTTTTATTGCAGATTTTACTGTGCCATATTTTCCTAACAGAGCACTTCGCTCTCAGGCTGCAGGTTTACTTGTGGTTCCTAGAGTTTCCTAAAGCAGAATGGGAGGAAGATCTTTCAGTTCTCAGTCTCCTCTCTTGTGGAACCAACTTCCAGTTTCTGTCCGTGAGGCTGACACATTGTCCAGTTTTAAGACTGGGATTAAGACTTTCCTTTTTGATAAATCCTATAGTTAGGATTGGCTTATTATGCTGCTATAGACTTAGACTACTAGAGGACAAACTGAGCTCATTTCCTTAAATGAATTGTTAAAATTTAATAGTTTTCATTTGATACTATTTCTATCTTAACGTGATTCTTGACCTGCCATTGTGTATCTGTTCCTACCAAACCCAGCCGGTTGAAGCAGATGGTCCTCTTGTCTTGATCCTGGTTCTGCTAAAGGTTTCTTACACATGAGGGAGTTTTTTCTTCCCACTGTCGCCTTCATACTTGTTCTACAAACCGGATTCCAAAAAAGTTGGGACACTAAACAAACTGTGAATAAAAACTGAATGCAATGATGTGGAGGTGCCAACATCTAATATTTTATTCAGAATAGAACACAAATCACAGATCAAAAGTTTAAACTGAGAGAATGTATCATTTTAAGGGAAAAATCTGTTGTTTCCAAATTTCATGGCGTCAACAAATCCCAAAAAAGTTGGGACAAGTCCATTTTTCCCACTGTGTGGCATCCCCCCTTCTTCTTCCAACACTCAACAGACGTCTGGGGACAGAGGAGACCAGTTTCTCCAGTTTAGAAATAGGAATGCTCTCCCATTCATGTCTAATACAGGCCTCTAACTGTTCAATCGTCTTGGGCCTTCTTTGTCGCACCTTCCTCTTTATGATGTGCCAAATGTTCTCTATAGGTGAAAGATCTGGACTGCAGGCTGGCCATTTCAGTACCCGGATCCTTCTCCTACGTAGCTATGATGTTGTGATTGCTGCAGAATGTGGTCTGGCATTATCGTGTTGAAAAATGCAGGGTCTTCCCTGAAAGAGATGACGTCTAGATGGGAGCATATGTTGTTCTAGAACCTGAACATAGTTCTCTGCATTAATGGTGCCTTACCAGACATGCAAGCTACCTAGGACCCACCCTCTTTACAATCTACATACATAATGTAGGTAAAAGCATCCCTAATGCATCCATACATTTCTATGCTGATGATACAGTTGTTTATTGTCGAGCTAAAACTGTTGCTAAGGCTTTCCAGCTTTTGAAATCTGCATTCAACATCATCCAGACAGATTTGTTCCGCCTCAAACTTGTCCTAAATGCCGACAAAACCAAAGGGATGCTTTTTTCAAATAGGAAGTTGGTCCCAGCAGTTCTTCCTCCGATTTTATCCTCAAATGGTGTTCCCATTGAGTTTGTTGATTCCTATAAATATTTGGGTATCTTGGTCGACTCACATCTCTCTTTTAAGCTCCATGTGGAAAACTTGGTAAAGAAACTGAAAGTTAAACTGGGTTTCTTTTTCAGAAACAGATCCTGTCTAACCCTGAATGTTAGGAAACACCTTGTATCTGTGACTTTCCTTCCCTCCATTGATTACGGTGACATTATTTACATGAACGCTCCTACAAGAACCCTGCAGATGTTGGATGCTGCAGATGTTGGATGCTGTCTATCATGGTGCACTAAGATTCATAACTGGCTGTGATTATCGTACCCACCACTACACCCTGTATTCACTGGTTAACTGAACATCATTAACTTCACGCAGACTCTCTCACTGGTACATTTACATCTTTAAATCACTTCTTGGTCTGCTGCCTTCATACATCTCCTCCTACATGTCTCTGCGTGAGTGCAGCTACGGAGTGCGCTCTCAGGACATTATTACCTGCAGTGTTCCCTTAATGAGGACTGAACTAGGCAAAAGGGCCTTCTCCTACCATACCATGCCACTTTATTTATAGAGCACTTAAAACAGCTACAAAGCCAACCAAAGTGCTGTACAGACAGAACAACAGGTAACACACAAAGCAAAATACAAAATGAGGTAAATCAGAATATAGACATAAAAACGATGCAGATAATGACGACAAACCATTGTGGAGCATACAGGATCCAAACACAGATCATCTGGTGTTGAAAGCTACTGAATAGTAGTGAGTTTTTAAACGGGACTTGAAAACCGAGAGGGAGGGGGCCTGTCTGACAAGCAGAGGTAACTCGTTCCAGAGTCTTGGTCCTGCTACAGAGACGGCCCTGTCACCTCTGCGCTTACGACGAGTTCCTGGAACTGTGAGGAGCAACTGGTCCGCTGACCTCAGGGCGTGTGGTGGGACTACTTCCACTCCACTCCTGTTTCCTGGAATATCTTACAAAAAGATTTGAAGCTCTCGACCTTTGACCTCTCTAAGTGGCTTTAAGAATCTGTTGGACTCCTGGCAGGGACCAATGCAGACATGTTCCTGTTTTTAGTTTTCTACATTCGCTTTAGAATCTAGCTGTTTTTTTTGTTACCTTTTTCTTTTAGCCATCCTATTTGTAAAATAAAAAAAACAACCTGCAGTATGACTTTTTATAACTGTTTATTGTTGTTGCTGTTGTCCAATGTTGTCATCTTTCTTTGTTGAAATCAGGTCTCTCTTGTAAATGAGTCCTCGAGGCTCAATGGGATTTACCTGTCTAAATAAAGGTTGAAAGCTGCCCATGCCACAAGCGCTCATGCAACCCCATACCATCAGTGATGCAGGCTTCTGAACGGAGCGTTGATAACAACTTGGGCTATCCTTGTCCTCTCTGGTCCGGATGACATGGCGTCCCAGTGTTCCATAAAGAACTTCAAATCGTGACTCATCTGACCACAGAACAGTCTTCCATTTTGCCACACTCCATTTTAAATGACCCCTGGCCCAGTGCAAACGTCTGAGCTTGTGGAGCTTGCTTAGAAATGGCTTCCTCTTTGCACTGTAGAGTTTCAGCTGGCAACGGCGGATGGCACGGTGGATTGTGTTCACTGACAATGCTTTCTGGAAGTATTCCTGAGCCCATTCTGTTATTTCCTTGACAGTGGCATTCCTGTTTGAGGTGCAGTGACGTTTAAGGGCCCGGAGATCACGAGCATCCAGTAGAGTTTTACGGCCTTGACCCTTACGCACAGCGATTGTTCCAGATTCTCTGAATCTTTTGATGATGATAACTTAAAAGTCTTTGCTATTTTACGCTGGGTAACACCATTCTGGTATTGCTGCACTATCTTTCTGTGCAACAATGGTGGAATTGGTGATCCTCTTACCATCTTGGCTTCTGAGAGACACTGACACTCTGAGAAGCTCTTTTTATACCCAATCATGTTGTCAATTGACCTAATTAGTGTTAATTGGTCTTCCAGCTGTTCGTTATATGCTCAATTTCCTTTTTCCAGCCACTTATTGCTACTTGTCCCAACTTTTTGGGAATTTGTTGACACTGTGAAATTTTGAATCAACATATTTTCCTTTAAAATGTTACATTTACTCAGATTAAACTTTTGATCTGTCATCTATGTTATATTACGAATAAAATATTGACGTTTGCCATCTCCACATCATTGCATTCAGTTTTTATTCACAATTTGTTTAGTGTCCCAACTTCTTTGGAATCCAGTTTTTAGATGAGAGTTCTGTGATGGAGTTAAACTCAAAGCAGTCTGCTCCTCAGATAAATAATGTTAAATTATTGTATTTGTATATTTTTATTATGTTTCTGTTCTTTTTAAGTGCAGCTAACATTAGCTAAAATAAGCACAGGGAGGTATGTGTGTGTGTGGGGGGGGGGGTGTTTAAAACTGAGTTAACCCCTGAGTTTAAACTGTCCATCTAGCAGTTTTTTTGGGTTTTGTTACCTTTTTCCTTTTAGCCATCCTATTTGTTAAAAAAAAAAAAAAAAAAAAAAAAAAAAACTGTAGTATGAGTTTTTATAACTGCTTATTGTTGTTGCTGTTGTCCATTGTTGTCATCTTTCTTTGTTGAAATCAGGTCTCTCTTGTAAATGAGTCCTCGAGGCTCAATGGGATTTACCTGTAGAAATAAAGGTTGATTGATGGTTAACAACAATATTTTGTGTGTTGTTTTTCCTCCGGTCCAGCAGGAGGCGATGAAGCACCGCGGACTACTTTCACCAGCGGCGGGCTATATAAGAGACGGAAGACCATCGCTTCGGTCCTTTTCCCTGGATGAAGACTAGGAGACGGTTTGTTTAATCGGTAAATATGGTTTAAATTTTAAAAGTAACTCTTTGATTTCTTCTAGTCTCGTTTAATTGCCTCATGTTTGATTGTAAACTGGTAGTCTGGGCACAAGATGGCAGAGATATTTAACGGATTGCTGCGGATTGTTTCTGTGTAAATCGGAAGGTGTCTCCACGTTGGCCTCAGAAAAATTACCAGTTTAATCAATCAACAGTATAAACGAAGTACTTTGATCAGGTTTTATTATGTAATTAAATCGGATTTAGAAAATCTGATGTAAAGTTATTTTTAAACTTTTGAGTATTTTTAGGTGAAGTTGCCATGAAATAATCTTGATATAAAGTTGTTGCATTATTAATCTGTCAGGCATGTGTACAGTGTTTGCGATGGATTAAATATTAAGTTTAAAAAATAAAAATAAATTGGAGGTCTCTTGTAAACGAGGCTCAATGGGATTAACCTGTAGAGAATGTTGAATGAATAAAATGTTTTTAGCGTTTTAAATCTGGACTTGTGGAAATAAAACTGAAACGTGAGCGTGTTGGGACTGTTGATGATTAAAAATGGAAAACGTACAGATGAAACCAGCTGATGCTCAGACTGTAGAGTTGCCATTAATTGACATTTTGTCCAATATTTAAGAATCTTTCTTCTCTTCAGGGCTGGAGGTTCTTGCAGATGTTTGCAGCAGCTCAGTCCAGGTATGCTTCCTCCTTCAATCTCAGTCTTTCTGACGCCGTGATGACGCTTCTTCCTGCCATTCGTAGTTTCCACCAGAGGTCTTTGAGACCAGAGACGGCCCGATCCTTCCTTGGATGTCTGAGCGTTTCTGTTCCCACAGGTTGTCGGCTGTATTTCTGCTGGCAGCCCTAACTGTTGTTGCTTCAACAGGTTGGTCGACACAGAAAATGGCCTTCAGGGACACCGTAGTGGTGCAGGGGTTGGTGGAGGTAGAACTCTGGGCTCGCTGAACATGAAAGGTGAGGTGTTGGCTTGTTTTCGTCTTTTAATAATTTACTTAAAGGAACGTGGTGGACTCGTCTGCTGCTACAGAATCTGTACATCGACCTTTAGCTCGTCACAAATGACGAGTCACTCCGCTCGGCTCATCGTTGCTCCGCTGGAGGTGGTTTTGCACTGACCAGTTTCCTGCTGTGTGGGTGGGGTCGTTACTGGTCATGGTGGTCGAGCTGCTCCGCCCGTTCTGATCCTTAATCGCGCCCCATAATAGACCAATTTCTTTAGCTTATCCCTATGGAGCAATTTCATTCAAAATTAGTGTTCTTTAAAATTCAATTATCCATTAATTAAATGTTTCCATGAAGTGTTTAAATAGAAAATTTGTTTTTTAGCCTAGATTTATTTATTTAGTAATGGGAGTTTCATTTTGTGATTTTATTTTGTACAGCTACTTCACATATTTCAGGTGCTTCTATTTAACCCCATTGTTCATTTAAAGTGCTTTATTTCAAGTTGTATTCAAATGAGGAGGCGGGGTTTTCTCTTTGTTGACCAATCACAGCAAAGTATTCCTCACTGGGCTCTGCTTGGTGTTCAGAAAGTCGGGATGACAAGCGGGCAGTATGGAGGACGTTGGAGAACTGGGATGAAATGCAAAGATTGGATGATATTGAGCATTATGTTGACGTCCCGCGTTGTATCACAGGGTGTGATCATTTGGAGTGGACATGGAGTGGAGCGGGTCTCCTCTGCTGTGAGACTCCAGGCTCAGAGCTTGGAAGTGGGAGGGGCTTACGCCAAAGTCTCCAGTAATCTAAAAAAAAAAAAAGTCTAGATTTGTTGCTAATCACTCAAAAGTCACTAGAAGGGTCTAAAAAGTAAATGAAGCGAAAAAGTTAACAACGCTGCAGCCATGTCCGCTATTGTGCTCCAGCCTGTGCGGAAACATTGTGCTGCACGTTGGTTCCTCTTCAAAAAGGGCCCGTGTGTTTAGCATGAAAAATAAAAAGTGCCGTGTGCACGTCATGAAGTCATCGATGAGCTGCATTGACCCTGATCAAACCTGCCCCACAGAGAACACCCTGCCCCTCATTTGAATATAAGAACATGAAATATAAAGCGCTTGAAATGAAAAGGGTTAAAAAAATAAATAGAAACCCTTGAAATATGTAAAGTAGCTTTACAAAATAAAACTCCCATTTTTAAATACATCTTGAAATGAATAAAAAATAAATCTTGGATTAAAAAATTAAACCTTTTACTTAAATGTTTAATTTTATGAGAACATTAATTTCATTGATTGTTGATTAATAATTTTTCAAGATTAAATTTTGACTGACTTTCCATATATCCCAGCTCTGCTCAAGAAGTCCAGGTGTAGCCCTGAGGAGGAAGTGGAGGTTCAGTTGTAGTTTTGTTGGCCGGGTCATCCAGTGACGTAGCTCTGCTGACCAGAGGACGGGCTGCTTGTTTCAAAATGGGCTCCTCAGCAGTCCGCTCGGAATCGGGTCGCAGAAACTGGGCTGAGTAGGTGGTACCAGCAGTGGAGAGGCCTCACTGGTGCAGAACGGAGCAAAGTGCTGGAAGTGTCACTGTTCTGTAGAGCTGGGCGATGTGGAACAAAATGTCTCCATTTTAAGATAAATGCTGATTATAAAATATATTTTTCTTCTTTGCATAAAGTAACAAAAAAAAAAAAATCTGAGTCGAAGCTTTGTCTCAATTGTAGGGCTGCAAATAACGATTATTTCAATAATCAGTGAATCGGCAAAATAAACAACTGTTTAAATTTCCACCCCTTTTTTCCAAAATTAATTTGACTGACATGGCAATTTGCACAAAACAGGTTGCTTTTCTGTTAGTAAAATATTGAATAATAAAAAAATAAGTTGAGTAGCTTTTTTTAAAAAAAAAAAAATGTACACAAATATATACTTTATACCTGCACAAAATGTTACTACTTTGTAAGATGTGTCCTTGAGGGAAGAGTAACCTGGATTAAAAGTAGATTATTGTAACCTGGATTAAAAGTGGATGATTGTAGTGAAGCCTTCGTCTTCAACCATCGGCAGAGGCCTCATGTCAGTGACGATCATGTTCAGGATGTTTCAGTGAAGACAGCTGCTGCTGTGGTGTCCATGATGTCTGTCCATCATGAAGGATGTTGTTGTTTGTTTTTTTTTCTGGAATGAGAGAATTTATAGATATTATAAATAATTTACAGCAACTCAAGGAATGCCTTGTTTCACTTACAGTGTTAGGTTCAGGCAAATAAGTAGCTCAAAGAGTAATTAACCACACACACACATAAAATACTTAATTACACACACTTGAGTAGATGTGATAAATTACTTTTAATTCCTGTTTAAATGCAATTCATCCTGCCATACCTGCAGTGTCTTCAGACTTTGCCAGCAAATTAAAAGCTGAAGCTTAATCATTAAATTATTATCTTTGTGTTAGATTTATTTATAAATCACATTTAAACACTGCGTGTACAAATGTATAAAATAAAAAGTAACACGTTCTCTATCACGTCATTAATAAACAAGCAGCTTCAGCTTCAGACAGACTGACGTTACGTTTTCTCTCTTGAAACAGAACAAAGTGTTAAATTGTAGAGACTCACCTGCAACACATGAAGAGTTGTATCAGCTGCAGCTCCTTCGTCGTCCTCGTGACTCCCACATGCTTAGTTTTTTTTTTTTTATCTCCGTGGTTCTCCCGTGTTGTCACTTTTCAAAGCTGCACGTTGCACAGTTTTTGTCTTTGTGAAGTTCTCCCACACTTTTTAAAGGACTTTGGTCAAACAGTTTATCTCTGCATTGGTCATTTGTAAAATGTTCTTAATTTCCTTTTGAAAACGGCCCCTCTGCTCTGCAGAGGTGAACCTCCCGGTTCAACTCGCACTGCAGGTTTTTTTTGTTTTTTCCCCAAACTTTGTTCACTCAGCGTTGACAATGAACTGCAGGTGAACAAAACGGCTCCACAGCGCTCCTTAGCGGATAAAAAGACGGCTAACGCTTGAGCTGTCTTGTTCCACAGCTGAAATGGGATCGTGTCTTGGCTACCAGTATATGATTAAGCTGGAGATTTATCTCTGTTCCTCTAAAAGGCACAGCAAGGCTGAGTTCTGACCCATGGTTTGTTTCAGGGAAGGTGACGGGTCTGTTGAGCTGCAGCTGAATGGACTGTACTTACAGCTCCTTTCTATCTTATTTCAAGATCTTTACATAATCTGTGCCTCATGTACCCTTTCATCCAGCTCTACTAGATCTCTACAAAGAATCTGGTGTCCCCCATCAGTGTCTGAATGTGATAAAGCTCAGAGGCAATGAGGGGAACCCCCCAACTCTCCCATTGGAGGACGACTGCTCCAACCTCTCAACCACAGCTGCCCCAGCTGAAGAGGATTACCACATTTAATAATTGTGGCTGTGTGACCACTGGGACAAAACTAACTGAAATTTTTGTTTATGGTGGGGAAAAACTAACATCGTATCAAGATTTTCTTAAAATGGATATAAATTTTGGCCCATTACCGCCCAGCTCTACTTCATACATCTCCTCCTACATGTCTCTGCGTGAGTGCAGCTACAGCGTGCGCTCTCAGGACATCATTACCTGCAGTGTTCCCTCAGTGAGGACTGAACTAGACAAAGACCTTCTACTCCGCTCCTGTTTCCTGGAATATCTTGTAAAAGGACCTGAAGCTCTCGACCTTTGACCTCTCTAAGCGAGTTTAAAACTTAATTTCCTGGCAAAACTCGATGCACACGTGTTCCTGTTTGTAGTTTTCTTCTACTCCTTGTCTAGATTTTTATTCATTTATTTATTGCGATTTTTTTCCATTTTGACTCTACTTTCGGTCGCCATTTTAATTTAGTCATAAGAGGGATAGTTTTTTTTTTTTTTAGTCTATTGTCATCGTTACTCAGTTTGTTTAAGAGATCAGGTCTCTCTTGTAAAAGAGTCCCAGAGGCTCAATGGGATTAACCTGTGTAAATAAAGGTTGAATGATTGTCTCAATAAACAAGTCATAAAATCAAGTTTTAAAGGATCAAAAAACTAGAGTTGAACAGCAATCTTGAAATAACTGAACCTTTTTCCTGATTCACCTTCGTAACTAAAAAGTTCAACAATCGACTTGGTTCACCAGTAAAACATTTTGTGCAGTGACCACTGAAGGATGTGTGGAAATGTTGACGCACTGAAGAGACCAGTGATGCGGTTTCTTTTTGTTTTCCAGGGTAAATATCCTGGCAGTGGTGTCTCGTGGTGGTTAAAGCTCGTAAAGAGCGGTACGTACCTTCAAGTTCTAAGATCTGCTTCTGTTCGCTGTGATGATGCTTTTTCCTGCCATTCGTAGTTTCCACCAGAGG